CACATATGAGATCACACTTCATAATTCCCAAACAGTTTCACACTCCACAGAACCACAACAAATCAAAAATACACAACAAAAAGTTAAAAACAAAATCAATTCAAACTTCCAAATTTCAGACAACTTCAAATATTCAACGGTACAAAATCAACAAAAGAATACAAACAAAAAATAGTCGATCCTTAAATAAGTCACCAAATCACCAAAATTAATTCAAATTCAACGGTCACAAAATCAACAAAAGAAAACAAACAAAAAACCCTATTTTTTTTATGTGTACTGCTGGCGTACTAGAGAAGGAGAAAATGAGAGAAGAATGTAGAAGAACTAAGATATTATTTTCTTCAGTGGCGTACTGCCGTGCCCTATTTTTTTTAATGTGTTTAAACTTGTATGTGTTTTTTCTATTTTTCCTTTTTTTTTCCTTATAAAATTATAAATATAAGATTTTTTACAAAAATAAAACTGGGCTTGGAAGGGGCTAGTGGGCAGTGGGCTTAGGTGTAACCATAAGTTACAAAGGGGGCCCAATTTGTGAGAATTTTTCTTTTTTTTAGCCTGGTACTCGGGAAGAATTCCCAATACCCGGACCTGACCCGATTTGTGAGCACTGGCTACCCGAACCCGGTAAAACCCGGTTATTTCAAAAATTACCCGATCCGGTTGGGTAAAACCCGACCGGGTCGGGTCATAACCGGAATAACCCGACCTGAATGTCCACCCCTAGTTCTCGGTATATAAAACGGCTAATGAATTTAGCAAAATGGTCGAATATATTATTTGATCAAAATACTCTTTAGTGCATCACTCTATAGGAATATATACTCCTTTGTGCATCACTGAATTTTTATAGCTTAGTTGTCCCTTTTGAACCAGTTCTTAGGATCTCCAGTCATCATGGTTGGGTTACCACTATAAAAAAACTCTTAATTTGTGTTTTTAATCTCATTGCCCTAGACATGCAAGTTGTATGAAATTTTTAGTTGACTTTTAGTCGCAGATCAGCTATTAACCATTGATTTTCATAATCTATGTTAATTATTTATTTAGGGATGAATTGCCTAATGGTCTTATTGTATTACGCATGTGTCAATATTTGTCATTATACATGTCGTTTGTCATTATTAGGTTCTATTAATTAGGGGGATATGCATTTATCGGCATATTATTTTTTTAATTTATTGGAATAGTTAGTTGGGGCATATAAGGTATTTTGGGTTGATTGGACTTATGTCAAATATAAATTAAAAGATGGATTTATCAAGAAGTCAAAATCCAATGAGGGAATTTTAACAAATAGCTCCTAAAATAAAAGTATTTATTTTAAAATATTTTTTTACATATATATGCTTATATTATATCATTGGGAAGATCTTCAAATGTAGTTTTTTACAAATTAAATTACAATGGAAATTTCAATATGTAAAAAAAATTACAATAAGAAGAAAATAAACTCTCACCCTATTATATATATAGCACATGAAAAGACATTTGATATTTTAACTACATTATTAAGCTATGTTAATTTATTATTTTCATTTATGTTATTACATAGTTGGCCCTAACTAATTGATGGTATAACTTTATTATAACCATGTCCACGTAAGAAGGATATGGTTTTGAAGCGATCATAATTAACTGCATTAATGATGAATGAAGGGCGGCCCTAGCATGGCACTACGGTTAAGCTCGAACTTGTGATTACTCTCGAGTGAAACACTATATATTCTCGGTTCACTACAAAGTAGGGCGAGTAAATGGCAAGCACTAGTTTCTCATGTGGGTTGAACTGGCCCAAGAAGAGATCGGATCTCAAACTGGAGTTTATGGTTCTATATTTAATCTAATAACAAACATCTTATAAAATAAAAGGTCTATTATTTTATAGGGGAAATTATCTTGTGTTGGCTAATCTTATCTTGGTAACCAAACGAGAAAGATGTTAATCTAATAATTGGCACAGTTCCAGGTGGTAACATATCAAATATAGGGAGAACTATCTTATGTTGACTAATCTTATCTTGGTAACCAAACGAGAAAGAGGTTAATCTAATAAGTGGCACAGTTCCAGGTGGTAACATATCAAATATAGGGTAAATATTGGATCGTTCAACGAATTTTCTTTCCATTGAAAGACACCTAAGTGTTATATACTAATACAACTTTATATCTCCAACCACTCCATCAAATGTTGTTGTCCGATGGCCATCATCATACTCCGTAGCTCGTTATATTTCATAGGTCGGAGTCCATGAAATCGAGATTTTCAATTTCAAGAGTGTGTTCATAAAATATTTATTTTCTTAGAAATTAAGATAAATATGAAGTTCAATAAATCTCGAAATTAGAGAATTTAGCTCGCAAGAATAAATTCGTGCTCCAAGAGATAAATTCGACTACTATTGAACTCATTTGAGAAATCCCGTATATGTCAAGTTCATAATAGATAAGTCGAACTTTCAATAGATAAATTCGAGCTCTAAAATAATCCCAGTATATAAATGCATTCATAGGCACATAAACTCAAGTTCTATTTGAAGTTCATTCGAGAAAACCAATTCGGTAAATGCGAACTATTTTGAAAAATCCAAGTCAATGCCGAGCTCCTTTAATCATCATACTCAAAACTCTGAGCAAATAGACATATTGTTTTGAGAAATTTGATATATTCAAGCATTAAAAATGAATGGGAGCTCCAAGAGATTATGTTTCAAGAGACTAGTCTTTTTTGTCATCGAGCTTATTTAAGAATTGTACTAATATCTCGCTCTTGCAAAGGTCGATAAAATATCGAGATCCTTCACAAAATCGAGATA